ATCAATGCATTAAATGAGAGAGATGGTCATATGAAGGAGAGTTTCTAAGTTGCGCCAAAAAAGTTGTAAGGGAGGGGTTTATGAGTTTCATCTGTAAAATTTGTTAGGAAGAGATTTCTAAGTTTTATCCATAAAACTTGAAGGGAGAATTTTCAAGAATATATATGTAATATATTTTGAAATAATGAGTATCTTTATAAACATAAACATGAAGAGTCAAATTGTAATGCCCTGTGGACTCATTTCTTGTTGTCCCTTCTTCATTCTCATTTCCTCTCTTCTAAAAAATCTTCCTTTCTTTTTCCTAAGGTTGAGCTTTGCTGGTTGAAGGAAGTCTCAAGCTCCCAAGGTTGGAACATTCCCGTTCTTCTCTGCGTTTCTCTTCTTCTCTATCCTGTTTCTCTTGGATTTCTTTTGGCGATTCTTTTGAGCTTTGAAATAACAGATTAGGGAATTTCACTTTGCTTGTTTGTTGAATCATTGAGCTGGATTTGCATTGAAATATAGATGAGTGTTGATCAATTTGTAGGTTTTTGAAATTGAAAAGTGGGTTTTGGCTAGTTTTGAGAAATGGGAAGATATGGGAATGAAAGTTGTTACATGTTGTTTTCGGTGTTCGTTTTGGCATTGTTGGTGCTTAGTGTTGGTTTGGTTGTAGCTTGTATGTGTTGAGGATTGTTGAAAATGTAAGATTTGATGAAAATCGTGAGTTAGATGTGCTGGTTTTGAACTTGCATCGAGTGCGCATTCATGGCGTTGGCAAGCTTTTGATAGAGAGTCAAATATCTCGCTCGCGTCGGGCAGGAGCTTGAATTTGAGTCCTTGGTTGAAAAGCGTCGAGTGCGAGTTGAGGCGCGCTTGGCACAATATCAATAAGTTGGTGGTGTGAGTCTCTGCTAAGATCACACTGGGCGCAGAGAGGTATGTGCTGGGCACGACCCTGGTAGGGGGCCACACTTTCATATGTGTTTAGCATAGGAAGTCCCGCTTTGGGCACAAATGAGGTAGAGAGTCTTAGGTTGATTCACACTGGGCGTAAAGTCTTTGACTTGGATGCGTCAGACGTGGGTTATGGTGCGCCGAGCGCAAGACTCCCAAAATATCCCCTCTGATGTTGGGGTGTCGGGTGCATGAAGAGCTGCGCCAGGAGCGTAAGTACCAGGGAACACCCTGTTTCCCTAGCATTGGGGTCAAGCTTGGCTGTGCGGGGTGCAAGTTGTATGATGAAAAATGAGTTGTGTAATTGTTGTTTTAAGTTGTTTACATGTTGTTTATTGTTGAGGATGATTACATTGTTGTGTTGAGTTAAAATGATGATGTTACAATGATGTAGAGGTATATATATGTTGTAAGTAAATTATTTTGTGAAGTTGGTTAAAGTGGCTAAGTTGCTTAATAGTTGTTAAGTTGATTCCAAGTTGTTAAAGTTGATATTATGATGACTATAGTTGTTAAATTTGTTTACTAAAGTTGATAATAAGATGCCTATTGTTGTAAAGTTAAATACATGATGCTTATAGTTGTGAAGTTGATAAGTTGGGGACATATGGTTGATGGTTAAGATACATAATACTAAGGTGGTAAGTTGAAAGTTGTTTTAAAGTTAAATCCCTTAGTACTATGTGGGCAACATGGAAGTAGTCAATCCATGTTATGGTTGAATGACCAAGTGAGTAAGGTATCTAGTCAGAAATGTAGTATTTAATTAGGTAATGGAGGGCACGTGGTACTTGGAGGGTAGTGGTGGGCTAACTCTACTTGTGGATTGGTGATGCAAGCCAAGGCCGTGGTAGGCTCATACCTAAACCCTTCTACCCTAGAAGTAGTATTGGACCTTCGAGTCTAAGTGACATACCTAAATAATCAACTATAATTGTCTATACCTAGTTTTCTTTGGAGTTCCTAACATTGTCCTATACTCGACCTAACTAAGATAGGTCTAAAGCTGGATTCGATAGGGTTTATGCTACCTAGACTGTTGAACCTCATTTGTTAGAGATCTCCTAGTTGTATATGCGGGACGACGCATCAGTTTATGTTGTTTATATATTATTATCACTACAAGAAAATTCAGTATTATCTACGGAAGAAATCCGTAGATAATGCTAAAAATTCGTAGGTAACTGTTAATTACCTACGGAAAAAAAACCGTAGGTAATAAGGTCGTAGATAACGTTACTTACGGAAAATTTTCCATAGGTAACGTTACCTACGGATTTTATCTACGGATGACTTACCTACGGAAACTTCTGTAGGTAAGTTACCTACGGAAATTTTCGTAGGTAAGTTACCTACGAAAATTTCCGTAGGTAACTTACCTACGAAAATTTCCATAGGTAACTTACCTACAGAAATTTCCGTAGGTAACTTCCCTCAGTGAGTAAGTTACCTACGAAAATTTCCGTAGGTAACTATTTTCAACAGATTTATAACATAAATTGTTTGTTCCATACCAATCATTGTTCCTGCTCAAAAATATAAATAAAATCACTTTTCAAATTTCTTAAAATATCCTATAACCTTATATATATCCTTCAGTTAAGCAAATTCAGTTAACCACAATATGAAATCAAACATCTTTAAAATCAAAATACCCATAGCAATTATGCATAATTAGTTTCCATGTCATTGTGTAAAATAAGATAATTTTAAAATTGTACAGAATAAAATATGAATAAAAATGATCCATAATCTATTAAAAAAAACTAATAGTCATCCCCATAGTGTCCAGTAGGCGGTGGTTGTCATGAGATTGTTGATCCACCTGTTGTTGCAAAATATGTTGTGTATCAGAAGGTAGGAGAGGTAGAACAGCATTGAACAGGGATTGAAACTGGCGTTGTAAGCGTTCATTTTGTTCCCTAGATTGACGAGCCTCCTCCCTAGACTTACGGACTTGCTCTTCCAATTGAATAATTTTCTCTGACTCTTTAGTAGCATGCCCAGAAGATATATTTATCAAGGTATCCACATCTGTCAATGGAGAAGTGACTTTTCCAACCCCGTAAAGTCGTCTTTTGTCTGTAATCCCACCTGCAGCAACAATCCAACTCTTATTGCGGAGTCTTTCTTCCTCAACTGGGTCCATAGGAGACGTTTCAGAACCTCCTGTATAAGATGCAGCCTCAGACCTAGCTTGATTAAATATAGTTTCAAATTGATCTTAAAATCGGTTGAAATTTAACCGATCTTAAAAGTATTTTTAAGATTGGTTATAATAGAACCGATCTTAAAAGTGGTACTTTTAAGATCGGTTACAAAATAACCGATTTTAAAAGTACTACTTTTAAAATCAGTTATTTCAAACCGATTTTGTATGTAGTATACAAAATCGGTTATTCCAGAACCGATTTTAAAAGTATCGTCAGAAATCTTTTATATTTCCCTGCATTCTCATTCTCTTCAATCTTTCCCTGAAGCTCTCATTTAGTCTCCAATAAGGTAAATTTCATTGTCTCTTTCATTTTCATTTTCGTCTTCTCATGTTCTTCTTGTGTTTCTTTTCATTTTTTCATGATTTCTCGTTTTTGTGTTGCAGATCTAGTTGTGTTCGAAACTGGAACGGCCCGTTCTGCAGGGAGAACGGCCCGTTCTCCAAACAGAACGAGTCGTTCTGCAAGGAGAACGGACGTTATGCTTGGAGAATGGGCCGTTCTCCTTGCAGAACGGGCCGTTCTCCCTGCAAAACAGGTCGTTCTACTTGGAGAACGGGCCGTGCTCCCTGCAGAACGGGTCGTTATACTTGGAGAACGGGCAGTTCTCCTCGCAGAACGGGGCGTTCTACTTGGAGAACGGGTCATTCTCCAAGTGGCCTTTTAGGCCTTTCGATCAGACTGGAACGGCCCGTTCCGGTTTTGGAACGGCCGTTCCAGTTTAATTTTTTTTCCACATCCGGATTTTTAAAATCAGTTATAAACTTTTAAAATCGGTTTTTTAACTGATTTTAAAAGTCTAACTTTTAAAATCGGCTCTTTTAAGATCGGTTAAAGAACCAATTTTAAAAGTCAAAAATAACCGATTTTAAAAGTCTTTTTTTCACTAGTGATATGAACACACCACACCATACACCATACGCAAACATGTCAACCAACGTATCGTTACTCATTCACCTACAAATATCTACTAACAACATGAGTAGTCTAAGTGACTCTATCCTACCAAACAAATCTAATCGTGTTAGCACCTAAAGCACTAGCTCGACAACAGCAAAGTGGGATACCAATCCCTCATCTAATTTCTCAAATATTGTCACTTATAATAGGAAAGTTCATTCCCATCATTATGAATAGTACAACTGGGTATAGGTTTACCACGACCTTAGCATGCATTACATTTTTCCTCTACTTGAGTTCTAGGTTAGCCAACATGCTTTAATCCCATATCGTACTCTCAATATCCACACCTCACCATACATCATCTATATACATCACATCTAATCAATACATACAAAGATCAACAACATCATACAAATATACAGTATACATATGTTCACCATCATCCAATACCATATAATCATCTATATATGTCATATCCAATCTACATATATAGAACAATCATCACAGACTTATGCTCGATGCCATTGAGGCGGAAAGTTTTCTGCCTTGTTTATGCTTGATGTCATCCAAGCTGCACTCAGTGTGATCAAGGTGGAGATCCCTTAGGACCTCCCTTACATGGCAAAACTCATGTCTAACCTGATATTATGTAGAGAGTCTCTAACTGACTCCTACCCAACGTCACCAAGTTAGAGATTTTCCCCTATTCTTATGCACGTTGCCATTCAAACCATGCTCGGCGCCATCTCAACCCGAGACAAGTCTTTCTCCTCACACCCAACGCCACTAATCTTACATTCAAAGTGATTGAGTTAGAATTTTAAGATCGGTTAAAGAACCAATTTTAAAAGTCAAAAATAACCGATTTTAAAAGTCTTTTTTTCACTAGTGATATGAACACACCACACCATACACCATACGCAAACATGTCAACCAACGTATCGTTACTCATTCATCAAACTTCTTAGTTGTTACATCTAGTGTTCTGCAAAAATGAGACACAAGAAAAATGAGACACAAGAAAACTAAAGCAGCCAACCAATCACAACCAGATTTAATGGATAGACCCATGCACATGTATTAAGCTTGAAGTATGGAAAACTGATAATTTTATAATATAGAATGTGAAAGAGGTTTTCATTAGAACAAGGGAAATAATGGAAGACTGCTCAAATCCTAGCCAGTAGCCACTAATGCAATCAAATAATTAGCATATTTAACTAAAAAATGTGATTAAAATAACACTTATATTTATTTTTGAAGAGGAGCAATTGTATAAGGATGCTCGTGAACTCTTTCACAGTTTCACATGTTTATTTTTTATCATGACATCATGTGCCAGCCAATCAGAATAACAAATAATATTTCATCTCTTTTAGATTAAATGAACCTCTTTGACAGAGGTTTCAGCTTCCAAACAGAGCATGGATGCTCCCTCTAATACTTAGGAAGGTGAAGACAAGCTCAAATATAAAGAAAGAACCATGAAACTCTGTTGGAAAGCTTGAATTCAGTTATTCACAAATTTTCTTCAGTTCAAGTAGTGGAGGTAGGTCATAAGGTAATGCAGTCTTTAGAAATTGTAAGCAATTAAGTCTAACACCATATCACTCCATAACTTTTTTAAAATGACAATGCAGCAACATAAGCTATGTCGTAAGTCAGGAAGGAAGAAATTTTCAATTGAACACTAACACTTTATAAAAATAAAATAAAAAACATATTTTGTTCAGGAGTGGCTGTTGTTTCTTCCTTTTGAGATATTAGACATTCTTTAATTAGCAAGCACAATATTCTGACTGACACTAACTGAGGTTTTTCTTCTTTCCTTCATTATTTTTATATCACATAACCTGGGAATTTCCTTCATCCCCATCACAGCAGCAGCTGTTCTTGGAGGTTGCTTTTGGCTGTGATCTTATTAGTAAATACAATTTGGGGAGAAGAATGCAAATTCATTGCTGAAGGATTCATCAACAATGTTTCCCATGAAGCTAGATATATCACCTGTACAATGTATGGTACCAGTGGCCACGCATAAGAGGGACATCCAATTGCTTTTCTCTTCTTCTGGAAGAATAGAAACTGACGAATATAACTCTTTCCTGAGAAAGGTGGTGGGAATGGAGGAGGCACTTTAAGAATTGAAGGAACCAAACAAATATTAATAACAATTAAAGTAGATGAACTAGAAATGGAAAACGAAAAAAGATTTCTTGTATGAGGTATAAGGTGGTAAGGAAGTATCCACTCCCATTTTCTAATCACAAAAAGGAACAAAATACATGTTAAAGATTAAGAACAGTCTGGTGCACAACAAAATAAAATGATGCCAAAACAAGGAGTCTTGTTGGCATACGTGCACAAAACACAATCTATATGTCCATTACACAACATTTGCACATAATGGTAGCAAAAGCTAGGACGAAAAGTCATCCAATGCAACAAAAGTGAGGAAAAAGACAATCAATAACTGCATTGAAAGCTAGATTGCAAAGAAAAAGAAAAAGAAAAAAAAAAAAGGAAATTGCATTGGGCTCCTCTAATCTCCTCTGTACCTGGTCTTTGTTGAATGGAGTAGTTTTGTTTTAGTAAATCACTTCTGTAATTACTATGATGTTAGATCAAGTTACTTATCAGTGAAATGTTCTGTTTACTGGCTAATCCATCATGTTGTGGGTTAACAATTGGAATTCTAAACACTTGAAATGTTCTGCAAACTTGTTGTCATTTCTGAGAAACTGCTATTATGATTGTTTCTTTTTAATTTATGCATAACAGAAATGTAGCTTTGTAAATGCTATATAATTGCTCTTTTGGTGGTTCTGATAATTTACAAAGAAACATACTGCTGGGACTGAAAAGCACATCCTTAATTGATACATCTATTAAGTTATTTAAGTTTCTTGAACTTAGTTGTGGATAATCAATATCAATGATGATATTAATCACTCATGCCTTTGTGCAGTCTAGCAAATGGCATTCCTTTATATCTTCATTATGGCACTATGGCTACTATGAAGCCAAGAGCACAAATATGGCACTAATGGCCCAACGCATTTTTCAGCAGCAAGAAAAGGTTCAAATAGTAAAAACAAAAAAGTGAGTTTTAACGTGTAAGTTAACTGATGTTATGGAAGGGGTGGTATGTGAAAGCCAAATTATAAAATAAGGAAGGTGGGTGTCAATTAATAAAATAGAAGGGAGGTCAGTGTTATTTTGACAGACTTCAAGGGAGGATATAACAATCAGAACTAACAAAGTACTAAATACTACCTAATTATAAACACCCGTTTGAAGCAATAAACAACATTATACAAAAAATAAATAAATAAATAAAATTAAAAAAGTGACAATAATTAGCTACAGCAGCATAATAACTTGCAAACAAGAAACAAATGAATTAACCTAGCAGAATCAATCTATTTATTCCCTGGTTGGATAATTTTTTCCGTAAACACTTACAGAAGAAGAAAATACGAAGGAAAAATACATTGAGCTTCTTCATAAGTAAAAATCAACTGATGCACCTTAACTTTTGGAGAAGTTAAATGAAAAGAAGTAAAAAGCTTACATAAAAAAGTGCATAAGTTGATTTTAGCTTGTGCAAGAAGTACAATTCATTTTTCTTTCTTATTTTCTTCGGAGAAGTTTATCTAAACAACCCTATAAACTAATTTATTAAATTTTACTTCAGATTAAAATTGAATAACTAGTAAATAGATTACGCATATTAAAGAAAGAGGCTATGAACTAATTTGAGTAAAGCACATGATACTCACATTTAGGAAAGAACTCTCCAATCCTTTTAAGCTTGTGAAGTGTCAGAATCAAAGGACAAAGGATAACAATTCTGAGCGCCAAAGTAGAGGAAACTATAGTAATCCACCTGAAATTCAATTACTGGATTAACACGAACGTTCGTTTCAGAATCGAAAACTGAACAGAGAAACAAATGTTACAGTAGCAATGGCAACAAGAAATACGAGACCTAGAAGCTTACCACGGAAATCCAGAAATATCGTGGAGTGATTCGAGCAACCAAATCACCGCGCGAACGGGGAAAACGGCGTCGTCTTCACCGCCGCCACTGCTATCGTGATTGTTTTCAGAAGATTTAAAGGACCTTCGCTCCTGGAGCAGTGCGTCTCGTCGAGTAGGCAAATCGCAACCCCGGTATAGCGTCGTCCACTGCAGCGATTGAATGGACCGTCGTTGCTCCTCCAAGGACCGTCGCTCCTGGTGTGCGTTTCGTCAGAGCAGAAAATCGCAACCCTAAAATTCCGTAGTCAACCCCTAAGAAAGTTTGGCAAAGCATTTCGTCTCATGTCTTCAGCAACCCCTAATACAATGCAGTCTAAACGCTGCGTTTTTTTTGTTTTAGTTACCTACGGAATTTTTTTCGTAGATAACTAAACTTTACCTACGGAAAAAATTCCGTAGGTAACACTCTGTAGATAACTAAAAATTACCTACGAAAAAAATTTCGTAGGTAATATTCCGTAGATAACTAAAAATTACCTACGGAAAAAATTTCATAGGTAATATTCCATAGGTAATAACATTTTTTCTTGTAGTGTGTATATGTTACTGTTTAAAGTTGAAATGTTATGCTCATTTTTGATTGTTATATGATGATGTTGTTTTATGATGATTGTTGATGTGAGCTTATCCTAGCTGTTTTCCTTATGGTTGGAACTGCGATGACCATACTTTGGTATGCGAGCATATCAGGAGTAGATGCTTGTCAGAGATGGGCAGGTAGGCTTTTGGTTGAGACTTAACCAAGGAGTTGATTCTTTTGTTGTTCTTTTTAAGATCAGTTGTTTAGTGGTTTTGTATAGGATATTATATCATACTTTTAGTGGTATATATGTATATGAGATCTTTAATTGTTTATTCTCATTATATATATAATTGTATGAATGTGATATTTTATTTTATGCATACATATGTATGGTATGGACTGTGTTATTAGTACACAATCTACTAACACTATAGACTATACGAGACTTGTCGAGTCGTTACACAAATTACATTAAATAAATTTTGTGTGCTTTTTTATTTATTTGCATTATTTTTAATGTATTTTTCATCGCAAAGTTTTTTTTCTTCTTTTTCTCAACAATACTCTTACAATGCTTTCACATATTTTTGGCTTGTTACCACTTACCATATGCATAGGAGTTTAAAAATTTGCACTGCATTAGTCACATGCGTTGACTTATTCTATGTCATGGATGAATGATTACTTGCTTGTGTGTATCCTACTTGTTTGTTTGTTTGTTTGTTTGTTTTTTTTTTTTTTTTTTTTTACTATACTAGATGGAAATGTGTAATGCATCTCATTCACTTTTTTTTTTCTTCTCCCATGAAAATTATTATGCATGCGAATTATGTGATGTCTAGTAAGATCCTGGCAATGATGTTTATTAGAAAGAAGACTCATGCCTAAAATCTCGCTAATAATTTTTTTTTATAGAATTTATTTGTTTTGATAGGCCATGACACTAAAGCTACACTTATTTATCATTTTCTTTTTGTGGGTTTATGTCTATATGAATTTAAGATTTAATTGCTTTTGAAGTGCCAAAATCTTTTATGTTGTAAAATTTTGAAAGACTAAGTTTCGATATTTTTGCTATGTGATGTTTTTTTATTTGCGAAACATTAATTTTATTATTATACAAAATATAGATTTTCTTGATTCCGCATACGTTATTGGTTATTTATTTGAAATACTTAATAAAGATATTCAGAGTAAATGGGTGTCACAAACACTTTTCTTTTTCCTCTTTCTTTCCACCCGTATTTTTATTTATTAAACTAATTTTTTAAACGGCTCCTAAAATATTAGTTATTTAAAGTAAAATATAAATGAATTTAAAATTGTTAACAAATACATTAAGTCACTAACAACAACAATTGCACGTTGGTCGAGGACATTTTTTTTTTATATTTAAAGCACAACATATAACAGAAAAAAATATAGGTTCTTCCATAGTTATTTTTAATCAAACACCAGTGTGTTTTTATTGAAACAAAATATTTTACATTCACTTATTTTTGTAGTAATTATCAGTTTCCTTGGGATACAATTTATAAGAAGGTTTTTGGGACACAAATAGTAATTATCAGTTTCAAGAACAATAGCAAGAGTATCTGTTATTTTATTTTTACTTTTTTTTTAAATTTTATTTATAATTTTTATCGTTAAATGTAAATTCTTTTTAGTACTATTCATGCCTACGTTTTTTAAAAACCGTACCATATTAAATGAATTAATTCAGGGAGATAAAAGAAAGATAACAGTACACAACTAATATAAAAACTAGTTAAATGCTGAGTATTGAAATTTGATGCGTGAGTGGTGTACTGATTATTAGCTCTTAAGCTACATGATAAGTAAAGTTACATTAAATAAATAAATTGGTAAAACTAAAATGGGAAAAATAAACTATAAATTTATAAAGACTGACAGAGTAATAATTAGCATTTTAGAAAAACATCACCAAAATATCATAAAACAATTTATAAGACACGCAGAGTCCTAACGAAGATTGCATGCATGCCCTGGCAATGGCTTTGCAAGTACTACATACTGTATTTGCGTTGAGTGATTCAAAACATGTCATGTAACAGAAATTCTACATTTCGCTCACAGTTTGTTACTCTGTTATTTATTCAAATTCAAATACAACATTTCACTTATCTTTTTAGTAGTTATGGAACTGTTCCTTTATTTTAAAAAAAATAGTAATAAAATATTTTCAATTTTTAGATAAGCTTGTTTTATTTTATTTTTTTATTTTAATTTTTTTACATTTTAATTATATAAATATATATTTTAATTTTAAAGAAACTGCTCGTTGTGAATTCAATGTACAAGCAAGAGGAGTAATAAAAGAAAAGTATTTGGTGCTCTTTTATACACACGTTATTAAAGTCCTAGCGCAATTCAATTATAGTAACACTTTTTTCTTAAACGGAACCCTAATAAATGAAGTGATTCACGAAGAGGAAAACATTAAAACCTACACAACCAACAACGGTAGCATTCCATATCTTTTAGCAGATAAAGTGGTAAAATTAGTTAAACTTATCATCAAATATTACAGATGTAGTTAAAAAAAAATAAAAAAACTACATGATCTTTTTGCAAAAGAAATAAGAAATATCCTCATGTATTTATCTTTAATACAAGAATATTGTTATGATATTGTTAGTTATTATAAAAAAGATGAAACGGAGGGAAATAAAATGAAGTTAGAGGGCAAAAGAGTAACTTGGAAGCAGTTAATTGAATAAGAGTAGTGTTGTTTGCATTCGCCAATCGCCATTCGCTTCCGTGCCTGTTTGTTCTCATTCTCTCTCTATATCTGACTTGAGTCGTAGCTCGATTCAATCGGACACAACAAACTTTATATATAGAGAGAGAGGGTCACTCTCACTGGCACACCAAAAAACATGCACTTCTTCTTCTCTCATTCGGTTCCGCTCCTCGCATATGTTTGAAAACCCTAACCAAAACCCTTAGTATTCTCTCTCGGGTAACGGATTCGCAACCGCCAGCGTCAACGATGCCTCGTCAACCTCAGCCGCCGCCGCCGCCGCGCAACCACCACCACCACCACCACCAGCAGCCGAGCTCTCTCAACGCCAAGCTCTGGCGAGCCTGCGTCGGAGGCCTCGTGGAAACCCCGACGCTGCATTCTAGGGTTTACTACTTCCCCCAGGGGCACTTCGAACAAGCCTCTTCCGCTCCGCGAAACCTAACCCCTCGCCTTCTAACCAGGCCCTACGTGCTCTGCCGCGTCGTCTCGGTTCAATTTCTCGCGGATCCCCTCACCGACGAGGTTTTCACCAAGCTCATTCTTCACCCTATCGTCGATTACTCTTCCGCCGCGGGGCCTTCTTCTGCTGCTGATAATAATCCTCAAAACGACGACGATGACGATAAGATTGAGTCGTTCGCCAAGATTCTCACGCCTTCCGACGCCAACAACGGGGGCGGCTTCTCCGTTCCCAGATTCTGCGCGGACTCCATCTTTCCGCCGCTGAACTTCAAGGACGACACGCCCACGCAGACGCTCGTCGTCACCGACGTGCACGGCCACTCCTGGGAGTTCCGCCACATCTACCGCGGCACGCCGCGCCGGCACTTGCTCACCACCGGCTGGAGCAAGTTCGTCAACAGCAAGAAGCTCGTCGCCGGAGACTCCGTCGTCTTCATGAAAAACTCCCGCGGGGAGAATTTCGTCGGGATTCGCCGCGCCACGCGCGGCGCCTCCGGCGCCGGGAAGTGGCGCCTGAGGAGCAGGGCCGAGGAGGGGGAGGCCGACGCCGAGGCGGAGGAGGAGGCTGTGGTTGAGAGAGAGGTTTTCTCGAGGGACGGGAAGGGGAAGTTGCCGACGAAGGTGGTGGTGGAGGCGGCGGAGCTGGCGGTGCAGAACATGCCGTTTGAGGTTGTTTATTATCCCAAGGCTGGTTGGTCGGAGTTTGTGGTGAAATGTGAGGCGGTGGATGAAGCAATGAGCATCACTTGGAGCCCTGGAATTAGAGTGAAGATGCCCATTGAGACCGAGGATTCGTCGAGGACGACGTGGTTTCCGGGTGTGGTCACTTCTGTCTCTTTTAACGATAACGGCAAGTGGCGCGGTTCTCCATGGCGCATGCTTCAGGTGGTATAGTATGACTGCACGTTTCTTTTATTTATGATTGTGGGTGGAGGTGGTGAAATAAAACTTCTGTATGTCTTCCTCGAGCGACCACACTGAGTCTTTCTTTTTTTCTTTCTTCAATTTTATAAAGAGAGACTAGGATGAGTGCGTGTGGGGCTACAGAGTTTTTTAATTAACCACCGAAAACCAGAACTCTCCATTTGCTTGCAAATTGATTTGCTATATATGTGAGTATGGTACAGCTTTGGGTCTGTTGTGGAATCTTAATATCCTCTCATTTTCGCACGGATATGTTTTCCATTAGCATTGTACTGGACTTAGAACTGTATGCTGAAAGAGGCTCAAACCCAGTTTAATAGATAAACCTAATCTTGTCATTTTATTCTCCTAGTTGGGTAAGGGTAAGGGTAAGTTTTTGTTGTTGTGGACTGTGGAGTGAAACTTATACAGAATTACATGTCTTATTTTATAATGGATTTTGCTGAGAATGCTTTTGTGGCTCATGGTTCTATTACTTATCATCTTTGCTAATATATTTTGAATTCATGAAGAGATTGAATTGGGAAAATGACTGTATGTGTGATAACCATTATTGTCTGCTAATCGAGAGTAATATGTATTTTTTGTAAAACATTTGATTTTGTTTCGTTATCTTGTTGCTCTGTCTGCCTGAATTTCTACATTCTTGTCCAGATGTTCTACTTTACTAGGTTTAATTCATGAGACATGAGTGGTTAGAAAAGGTAATATAGGATGAGCAAAATTTTATCAAACCAATGGATACTAGTTTTTGTTTGTAAATTTTTCAGTTCGAATATTTCAAATTTAACAACTATGACTATGCTTATTTTAATGGGAAAGAAAGTACATCATGTAGGCAGTTGAGGGATTCGACTTGTGGCAAAATCAACCTTTGGTATTTCTTACCTTGTTTTTACCAAATAAAGTCTTCATTACAATCTTTATCAGAAGATCAATTAATAGATGATTTCTTTCTTGTGTTACTTACTATATGTCAGTCTTGATTATACTTGCCATGTCTAATTCATAACAAGTGTTACTTGGATTCTCTCTCTTCATGGATGTGTCTATCTGGGTGTTTGCATTTTTGCAGGGGAAACTCTTAATCAGAGGATCTATTGCCTTTCTTTAATTTCTTGTGTTTTTGAGTTTATGTCTTTTGTGACAATATTCTTTATATTGAAATAAATTTTTTGTCACAGAAGTTGTACTTTAGAAATTATTACTCTCAAATGACTGATACTGGCCATTTATCATTTCTGATCTTAAAATCATAGATTTTATGGGATGAACCTGAAGTGTTGCAGCATGCAAAGTGGGTCAGCCCTTGGCAGGTGGAACTTGTTTCCAACACACCTGCACTTCATTCAGCATTCCCCCCAACAAAAAAGTTTAGAGCTGCTGATGGTTCTGGGGTGTTTACTGAAGGGGAGGGAGGCCCCTTTTCTATGACAGAATTCACTAATTCAGCAATGGGACACATGAATCCGGCATTTCTGAGTTATGGTACTTATCCTGCTGGCATGCAGGGAGCCAGGCATGATGTATTTTCTGCATCAAGTTTTTCCAACTATCCTCGTGACATGTCTCGTCTGTGTATGGGTATTTCGTTTGGGAACAATGCAGTTCCAATGGCGAAAACTTTGTCAACAGAGCTAAATGTTGGCAGCTCTCAATCTGATGAATTGTCTCCTGATAGCCGTAGTAGTCTCCATTCCTGTGACACAGAATTTGTTGGGAATCACAAATACAATCCAAGAAAACCTGGGTCTGTTTCATTTCAGCTATTTGGTGCAGTCATTCAAACAGAACAGCCTGATGAAATTGGTTTGGACAGTAATGGTTGCTCAGGAGATGGTGACCAATGCCAAAGAGCCTCAAGAGTTGAGGCTTGTTACTTGTGATAGTAGCTGTGACTATGTCATGCATATTAGTAGCTGTACAGGTATATCTGAGTGAATTGAATTTCTTACTTTAATGAAATTATAAAATCAGCTATTGATGCTTTGTTGACCAATTTTGTACCGAAAAGATGGATTATGTTAGCTCAATCGCATTAATTGCTGTGTCTAAATCTTGTTTTAATGCACGACTTGTATTTTGAGCGATTGTTTTTGACCAAGTGCTAGGTAGATTTGATTCCACATATATTTTTATGCACTGGTTAATTGACAACATAGATTTAGTTCCCCCAAACCGGTCCACCTATCAATAATTGTGATATTTTGATTGGCTTTAGCATATTCCTGATATATTGAACATGGACTCTTGTAACAGTCACACCAAATGTACAGAGCGGAAAATAAAATTGACGTTTTATTTGTAATACAGTAAAGTAGAAACCATAATTAGAATATCATCTTCCTTATTTAGCTTATGGCATCACATCATCTTTAACTTATTTTCATTTTTAATGTTATTTGTCTTCATGGCAAAAAGATGAGTGATCTAAATTCCCGAACATTGGGAACATGTTCACTGTCTACCTTTTTGCCGAATGTGTGAGTTAAAAACAAGCTCTTAATTCATGTAGAACTTGAGATCGACTTGTCTAAATCATTTTACGATGTGAATTTTACTGTAAAAATTTGAATATATTATAAATTGAAGGCTAACTGACTAGGTGGAACACTGAAAGTTATGGTTGTGTGTAGGACTATCTTTTTGAAACTAGCATAAAAGCAAAATAAGGCATGAATGTTTATTTTGATTATCCAGAACTTTGTTGGGGAGTATAATAGGTGCTGCTTCTTATAGCATGAAAATTCAATGGCTAAAAAGGGGAATTTGTAACTCGCCCCTCAAGTGAGTGTCTTTATATTTTTTCCACAGCTTACACTGGTTAGATTGATTTGATGTGTGTGTTAAAGGCATTCCATGGTTATGTGATTGAATCTCATGTTTAATTAGCTTTGGTTGTCTTTCATGCAGGTAGTAGGTACTTCAAGCAGGCTGGAAGCTGATCCCCCTTTTGACCCAGTTGTGTGCCGTTCACACCCCCCCCCCCCCCCCCC